AAGGGAAAGCCCCTGAGACTGAGCATCATCAGAAGAACACAATGCTCAAGTTGAAAAGGATCAGTGCAAATGGTGCAAGAAGCATGGACACTACCAGAGGGATCATCCAGACTTTCTGAAAAGCCTGCTGAAGAGAGGTGAGGATTTCATTACATTCATAGATGAATCCTTGTATTTAAGTTATACAAAATCTACTTGGTGGATTGATTCAGGTGCAACTGTTCATGTTGTAAATTCATTACAGGGATTCCGTACGAGAAGGACCCTGCAAAGAGGGGAAAGAAGAATTAAAGTAGCAAATGGAGTTGAAGCTCAAGTTGGAGCCATTGGAGACCTTTCTCTAGAATTAGTTAATGGTTTTCTACTTAAGCTTTCAGATGTTCTATTTGTACACTCTTTGTGAAGAAACTTAATATGTGTTTCACGTTTAGATGACGATGGATATGATTGCCATTTTGATAATGGCAAATGTCAGATTGTTTATAATAATAAATATGTTGGTCTTGCCTTCCGACAAGACAAGCTTTATTTATTATCACTTTCTGAGAATGTGAATGATGTAAGTACTGAGAATGAGAATGCTTCCTCGTCTATGAATGCAACAAATAAGCGGAAGAGAGTGCATGATGTATCTTCGAAATTATGGCACTGTCATTTAGGCCATATTTCGAGGGGGAGAATAGAGCGATTGATTAAGAAATCAATTCTTCCGCCTTTAGAATTTTCAGATTTAGAACAATGTATAGATTGCATAAAAGAAAAGTATGTTAAGAAAATAAAGAAAGATACCAAATGAAGCGTAGGAATTTTAGAAATAGTTCACACAGACATCTGTGGTCCTTTTCTTGTGAAGAGTGTGGATGGTTATGATTCATTTATAACATTCACAGATGACTACTTACGTTTTGGCTATATTTATCCAATTAAAGAAAGATCGAAAGCATTGGATAAATTTAAAATATTCAAGGCTGAAGTAGAGAATCAGCACAATTTAAAGATTAAGATAGTAAGTTCCGACCGTGGGAGAGAGTACTACGGTCGACACACCCCATATGGCCAAGTTCCTGGACCCTTTGCAAGGTACTTACAGGAAAATGGCATAGTAGCCCAGTATTCTACACCGGACGAGCCTCAGCAGAATGGAGTAGCTAAAAGACTCAACCGTACCTTAATAGATATGATGAGAAGCATGATAAGTTACTCTACCTTACCGATAAGTTTATGGATGGAGGTGTTAAAAACCGCCATTCATATTCTTAATCGAGTGCCAAGTAAGTTGGTGCCCAAGACACCGTATGAGTTGTGAACAGGAAAGGAACCCTCACTAAACTATTTACGTGTGTGGGGTTGTCCAGCTAAGGCAAAAGTATTTAACCCAAACATAGGGAAGCTGGACTCCAAGACAGTCAGCTACCATTTTATTGGCTATCCAGAAAAGTCAAAATGTTATCGCTTCTATTGTCTTGACAGACAAACAAAGTTTGTAGGAACAAGACATGATGTCTTCTTGAAAGACGATATGATCATGGGGAGCATGGTAGCGCATGAAATTAGTTTTGAAGAGAAGCGGGTATACGTGCCCACTCCTATGGTTCAGGAACCATTCTTCACGCTACCTATTGTTGCTGTACCAACAGTGCAAGACACTGTAGTAACAACACCTATTGTTAGTTCTCCTATGGCAACAATGAATGAACATAAGGAACCTATCCTTCAGATTCCATAGAACCCGTTGTCACACATGAGGAAGAACAACAATAGCCTCATATAGAACAAGCGTTATCTAACAAGTCCCCTAAAAGGTCTCAAAGAGTCAGGAGATCAGCCATTTCTGATGATTATGAAGTTTATGAATGTGAGGAATTTCAAATGGAGGGTGATCCCACCTCATTTGAAGAAGCCATGAGAAGTGCTCACTCATCCAAGTGGCTTGAAGTCATGGAAGATGAAATGAAATCAATGAAAACCAATGGAGTTTGGAACTTATAAACAATTCCTAAAGGAGCCAAGGCAGTAGGCTGTAAATGGGTCTACAAAACTAAACATGACTCCAAAGGGAATATAGAAAGGTTTAAAGCGTGACTTGTGGCGAAAGGTTTCACGCAAAGAGAAGGCATAGATTACAATGAAACATTTTCTCCAGTCTCATATAAGGATTCTTTTAGAATCATAATGGCGCTTGTAGCACATTACGACTTAGAATTGCATTAGATGGATGTAAAGACGGCGTTCCTAAATGGGGATTTAGAGGAAAACATTTACATGGCACAACCGAAAGGTTTTGTTGTGGAAGAAAAAGAACGTATGGGATGCCGCCTAAAAAAATCCATTTACGGAATTAAAGCAAGCTTCAAAACAGAAGTTTGGGTTTCAAGAAAATATAGAGGACAATTACGTTTATGCAAAGTTCAAGAATGAAAAATACATTTTCCTAGTCTTGTATTTGGATGACATATTGCTCGCTAGTAGTGATGTTAATCTACTACTAGAAACAAAGAAGTTCTTGTCCTCAAAGTTTGATATGAAGGATCTCGGTGAAGCTTCGTTCGTCCTAGGAATAGAGATTCATCGAGATAGAGAAATGGGGGTTTTAGGATTATCACAAAAGGCATACTTAGAAAAGGTTCTAAAGAAATACAGTATGCAAAATTGTAAGTCATCACCTACTCCCATAGTCAAGGGCGACAGATATGGAGAATTTCAATATCCCAGAAACCAATATAAGATCGATCAAATGAAAGCGGTTCCATATAGTTCAGCTATCGGAAGTTTACAGTATGCACAAGTGTGTACTCGCCCTGACTTAGCGTTTGTTATCGGTTGCTTGGCAGATATCAGAGTAATCCAGGAATAGAACACTGAAAATTAGTAAAAAAGTTTTGCATTACCTGCAAGGTACAAAGGGTCTCATGCTAACGTACAGAAGATCTGATTCCCTGCACATAGAGGGGTATACAGATTCTGATTATGCAAGAGATGAAAGAAAGTCCACGTCAGGATACATATTCACTCTCGTAGGAGGAGCTATATCGTGGAAAAGTTCAAAGCAAACCGTCACTATATCATCCACAATGTATGCTGAGTTTGTAGCATGTTATGAGGCCACATGGCAGGTGAATTGGCTAAAGAAATTCATGCCCGGGTTGAAAGTGGTAGATGGCATACATAAACCACTTAAGTTATACTACGATAATAATCCAGCAATATGTTATGCTCTCAATAATAAGTCAAGTGGTGCTGCCAAACACATTGACATAAAGTATTATGTTGTGAAAGATAAAGTCTGGGATCATATAATTAGTCTTGAGCATATAAGAACAGAAAAGATGCTTGCGGATCCGCTTATAAAAGGTTTACCACACAGCGTGTTCAGAGAACACTTAGCCGGCATGAGTTTAAGGAAAAGCCTATGATTTCTGGATAATAAGGGCCTAGTTAAGAATCTGTTTCAAAACAGAGATGTGCATTGTAGCTGTTTAATCTAATGGCAACTGATCGTGACGATAAGGCACGCTCTATGCACTGATCTGTGATGGAATGGGAACAAGAGAAAGTAAGTAAGTTAAGTTTCAGTCATAAGTGAGATCAATGGGGAGAATGTTAGTTGATCTCCACCAACGGCCAATTGGGCCCTTGGATCCGCACCCTGATCGGGGGCGCCCAACCCTAATATAGTTGGTGGGCCCCCATCGCACAGCGCCATAAATAGGAGGTGGGGGTTGGGGCGCCAAGCACGAGGTTCGCCTAAGACGTCTAGCACCCCACCTACAGTCCTAAACCCTAACCGATGACAGAGGGGGCGCTGCCAGCGACGGGAAGCACCGCCACCGGCCAACGCCACCACTGCACCGCCACCCTTCTACACAGCACCGCCACCGGGTCTTCACCAAGCACCGCGATGATGAGCCTGTCTTCCTCCAAGGCGGCCGATGGTTTGCACCCCCTTCACCCCTCTCTCTCTCGCTTTATCTCTTATCCTGTACTAGTAGATATTCTAGGGCTCACTGTTTATTCCAAAAGCAAGTAGACACGCTAGATCTATGGCTAGTGATCCTGTTTTTGGTCTATCACGAAGGTCACACCCGGGGTGTGACACATCGCACAAGGACAATCACGCGACCATCGCCAGAAGACCCCGGGCCCGCAAATCTACCCCTCTCTGCATGCGGCCAGGACCTTAGCTTGCGATGGAGGCCATGCGGAAGACGAATTCGAGCACGGCACAATGACAACTCCAATTCTGACGGTCGGCTCCAGGCTCCAGCAGAGGAATATCAGGTATGGTTTAGTGCTGTCAACCACGACATAGGTAATCCCTTATTTGATACTCAACAGTTCCGGTTATTTATATTTATTCATTCATTCAAGGAGATTAAGGCTTCCATGCAAATCCTTGCGGAGGTGAAGCTACAAAGATTAGAAGAGAGCGCAATCGAGCTCATGAATTAGACCGGTGATCAAAGATAATGGTGCATTGCACGGTGTGGGGAGAAAATGCAGTCTTGCTAAGTAAAAACTCTTTTAACTCTTTTATCGCGAAAAAGAAATACTTAAAATTGATAGCCTCTGCAGGGCAGAGATTTATAATCCAGTACTAGTAGAACTAAATAGGAAAATTCGTTTGACCAATAAACATGACTGAAGAACCGGACCAAACCACCAGGGCATACATCACTCTGCTTATTCGTAAGGGTCTGTTTGGATAGACTAGAACTAACAACTAGTCTTGATTGGTACTGAAAACGCTCCGAACTAAAGACCCATGGAACCTCCCGAACAACCATTTAGTCTGTTTGGCTAGTGTTGATACGATCGTATATACGATCGTGAATTATTACCGTTGACTGGTTTAATATAAGAAAAAATACTATTCTAGCTTATAATTCATAATCGTTTATGATCCAGCGAACAGGCCGACAGTCGCAGGTGCATGGCCGACGTTGGAGAGCAAGCAAGGAGACGGCGCGACCTCGCGTCTCGACGTGACGGCAGCAATCCGGTCAGTGGACGTTGATGGCGACCTTCATCCCGGAGGCGCACTCCCCTTCGGCGTCACAGATGAAAAAGTACTTTCCGGACTGCCCCAGCTTCACAGCGACTGCGTTGCCGGAGGTCAGCACCGGGGCGTTGTTCGGCGTAGCGCAGTCGTTGTAGCTCTGCTCGTCCACCACCACCACGTCCTGCCCCGCGTTGTACCGGAACACTGCGAGGCGCGAACCAGCCCAGCCAAGTTAGTCGTCACCACGCGCGTCATGCCTCGTAGTCGTAGGACCTGTTCGCTGGTGGGTACTGGTGCTGATTTGAGCTGACTGGTGCTGGTTTTTTTTAGAAAAACACTATTGACTGGTTGATTTGGGCTGGGTGAAACCAACCAGCGAACAGGCTGATAGCGTTATGCCAACCACAGTTACGTACGTACGTACCGAGCGTGTCGCCGACCTTGAACTTCTTGCCGCTGGCCCAGGCGTCGTAGTCGATGGCGACGTCCCAGCCGGAGCCGTCCCCGACCGTGTACGTCGCCGCGGACGCTGTCGTCGGGAGCAATGCGGCCGCGGCGGCGATGGTGGCCATGCCTGCAGCTACCAGCAGTGTCTTACGGCAATCCATTTTGACACGGAATGGAAGCGGGTCACGGCGGTGCGTACGTGCAGGCTTTGGTGCTTGCCCGGATGCTGCTGTACGTGTTTGGCATCGGAGTTGAGCGCACATGTATGTATATATACACCACCTGATCCTGACCTGATCACCGTTCATGCCTTCGCCATGTTCGTTTGAGCTGGTTTGGTTTATAAGTCATGGCTGAAAATACTGTCGGCTGATTTGGTGTGAAAAAAAATATTATTTGTTGACTGATAAGTTATGACTTATAAGTCAAATACGACCCAGACCACCGGTAGCGTTGGCTTCTTGGCAACATGAGCCAACAGGACGATTGTGTCCAGCGGCGTATCCGATGTGACTTGCACGGCACACGACGACACGACACGGTCCACGGGTCTGGAATTCGTCGTCTCGTTGGCAGCTGGGCGCATAGGCTCGTTTGTTGGATCTAAGGATGGTAACGGGGATATACCCGTCGGGTATCGCCAGAACGTTCTCTTCCCCGCTACGAAGAACTCATCCTGTTCCCGTCCCCATTAACTGTCTCGGGTATAGATTCTTGCCCATCCCCGTACCCGTCGGGCATTGGTCGGGTAACAGATACCCGACGGGTACTGCATACCAGATAAACAAGGATACTTGGGGTCACAGCTTTGCAATCGGAGACGTTTCTTCTTCACCCGGGTATAAGTGTCGAAGTTTCGGAGATGCCGAGGAGAAGGAGCAAGGTTGCGAGGACAAGCAAAAGTGGCAGAGAGACCGAACTGAGGAAGCGAGGGGCACGAGCGCTCATGAGGTAGGCGTGCTTGTGCTGCTGGCGGAGATGACGAGAAAAAATTGAACTAGGGTTCCTAGAACACACAAACTATATATATATATATGATTGTTTAGATTTGGGCCAAAATACCTATGTTAAGCTTCTTTTGGCCTAATACTCGCATGACAGCTCAAATAGTCGGGTTCCCCAACGGGTAACGGGGACGGGTAAACATGAAACGTTCTCGTACCCGCTATACCCATCGGATATGGATTCTTGTCCATTTAGATACCCGTGGATAAAGATATGATCACATTCCCATCTCCTAATAGATCAAATATCCGTCGGGTATCGGTATCGGGGCCCGTTGTCATCTTTAGTTGGATCGCAGAGTTGATCCATTCAACTGTGACAAACATGGAGGTTAGTGAGCGTCGGCGGCGGCGGATCGAGCACTGGGCTAGCGCCTAGCTAAAAGAGTACTACAGCGGTAGCGGCAGCCGGCGTGCTCAAGCTATATGTCGTGTCTCCGGCCGGTGTCCGAGCAGGTGGCTGACGACAGCTCACGGTTATGTGCCTGCGAGTTCGCGATCGTGCAATCCCGTACGCCTACTGCTATCGATCAGTTGATGACGCGAAAACGATGCAAGGCAAAGCCTACATACGTCTGCGGTATTCATACGGAGACATGAGACGATCTCTGCCGACGCACACGTACGGTGGTGCACCGTGCACGGCGGCCATCGTCCAACTAGACTAGATGAGCCTAACCGGCAGATCGATGGATTATTTACAAAAGCCAAACTCAAACACAGAGTCGACCATATGGGCGACGTCAGGAGCCGCCGAATAACGGCGTGGAACCCTCACCCAGGCATGGTCCAGGTCTGATTGTCTGCAAGATAAATATATATAATTTTGTAGTTATTGATATTTAGAATATCCAACAAAATATTAGTAGCATACTTACACAAATAAAAAAAAAGATAGTGTATATTTGTGTAAGTATGCTACTAATATTTTGTTGGAATCTCGTTGTGTAGGACTATGAGAGGTGCTTTTTTTTAGTGGATCGATGGTCCAGACAAGTTTGACTCTAGTTACCTCCTTTTCAACAATTGGTTTAGAGGGAGACATCCCCGTGAGCACTTCAAGCGGTGGGTTCCACCCCCAACCCTCCGCTAAAGGCGGCTAAGGTGAAGCACCTAGCCGCAGTTAGACGACTCGAGAAACCTCCTCTATGCCATTGTAGAGATCGAGCTGTGATAAACCCTGAGAATACGTTGAAGTTTGTGTCTCCAAACAAGCATGAAGTAAGTGCAAAGTGTATGTGTTGAAATGTTGAGCTATATGTGTTCATGTACTAATGTCACATTTATTTAGGTGTTTTCAATGGCGAAGTGTTGTTTCAAGGAGTGGTTGTATGATTCTAAGAACCAATGGCCGGAAGAACCTCGAAAGGTTAAGGAAAAGAAGAAAGAAAGGGTAATTTACAAAGCACCTCCTGTCATGTGCGAATGTGGTGTTAAATCTAACTATGGCCTAGTCCTTTCGGAGCTTGGAATATGCCATTATTGTGGCTATATAGTTGACTATGATGAGGTTGGTTATTTTTGTGGTAAACATGAAATCGTATTTTGTTTCTTTTGCTAAGACATATATGATATAATTTTTTGTTTGAACAGAGCACTAGGAAATACAGGTGAAAATATTATGATGGTCAAGCTAAGTTCTTGGATGAACTGAAGGGGAGGCAAGTAAGTGCATGGAAGAAGGGATATGGACCTGACTACGTCAACATATTCGTTAAACATCACAAAGAAAAGATACATGAGTTTGCTAGACAACGCGGTATTTGTAACCCGATCGATGTTGAGCTTGACAAATGAGGATTGGAGAGACAGATGCCGTTAGAGGAAGAGAGGGCAAGGAAGGAGGCAAGGGAGGAGACAAGAGTACAGATGTAGGTCTTGAACGAGCATGTTGTTGCATTATGTGTCAGTGAGTGCTTGAAATCCTTTTTTTCGTTGCCTGATTTTAAATGTAATATAATTACGTTGCTAACTGATTGCATTTTATACATGAAGGGATTGGATGCAGCGAGGAACATGCCGCAGAGGTGGCTCGTGCAAGGTATGAGAAAAAGAAGTTAGATGAGCACAGATCGCGAGCTGGTCACACCGTTCAATCACCGATTGTATTGTCTGATGAGGGGGACGAGGATGAGGACGACACTAGCAGACTGAGTGAGCTCATCGCTCTAGCAGAGACGGGCTTGCAGGCGAAGAAGGCTAAGGACGATACTGGCAGATTGAGCGAGCTCATCGCTCTAGGAGAGGCGGGCGGACTTGCAGGCGGAGAAGGCTAAGGATGACACTGACAGACTGAGCGAGCTCATCGCTCTAGTAGAGGCGGGCTTGCAGGCGGAGGAGGATGACGACGCGTTCTTCACTCAGACCGCAGATGAAGTGGAGGCCGCTTACTACAGGCGACAGGCAGGTCAGAGCAATGCAGGTGAGCCTAGCCACAGTAACAGGGTTGTGGTAGAGGACTAGTACTCGGTTGATGAGTTGCTTACTCAGTATATTTTAGACTGATGATTTGAAAGTGCATTTGCCCCCTACGTGGGTTTTGGTGTATTGATGACATCCAAATTAGGGACTAATGTGATTTTAATGAGATATGTCGCAGCTATTACTCAGTATGCGCCCTTCAAAGGTTTTTTTAGTTTAGAATCCGCCGCACTATAAAGAGAATGCAAACTTACTTGGTTTGAGGAAGATAGAGTGCTCAAGTATAGAAAAAAAATCAAAAGAAAGACACTCAAGCACTCCACGGGCACGTAGAATTTTTTAGTGTCTGTTGGTGTCAAAAGTCCCAACGTAAGCCGGAACTCCCGACAGTCGAAAGTCATGACTCATGCCGGAAGTCCTGACGCCCAGTCACTTAGCCTGCGCATTGACTATGGACGTTGGAAGTCCCGACCCAAGTCTGTACGATACGATTAGACTATACACGTTCTAATGAATTTATATTTAATCTGTGTACTAGATTTGTATCTTTTCAACACACAAAATACATGAAATGGTATGTGAGAACATGTACCGAACTAGAGTACATAGTTCATTCGACTAAACCTAACATGTCTTAGGTAATTAAACCAAACAACAAACACATAGATGTGCTATATGAATAACATAAAGTCGTTCTAGTAGTGTGGTCACATAGCAAATTGTGTTGCACCTTCTCCAAAATAGCTTCTCATTGTTGGTGGTGGTGGCGGCGGGGGTGGCGGCGGAGGCTCTTGTTCCTGTGATTAGGGCAGGTGCAATATGGATCATTGCAGAGTGCCTCCTGTGAATTGACATCATTGTTGTCGTCTTCCCATTCGTCGTTTTGTAATCACCGCTAACTTTTCTTTGTAGATCGAAGATATGATCCTACAGGTAGTAGATATACTCTGCATGGGGATAAATAGTTCGAGAGGATGTACCAGTACCCTCGATCCATCATGTAATGCAGACACTGCCGCTCATACACAACGCAAGGGCCTTGAGTTCTTGACTGGTGACTACCGACATGACGATACGTACCAAACATGAGCTAGCAGGGGAGCACATGCGAGATCCTGTGATGAGGCGCAATCTCTCCCCTGTATCGGGCCGCTATGCAGGCAAGATTGAGCGGTCAGCGTGTGGTGTGGTGAGCGCTGAGCAGTGACCACAACACCCATTGACTGCATGGATGCATGCCTCCCGGTTCTGCCTCATCTGTGAATAATCAGCCAAATTTTTTTCTTCTAATTTTAGAATTAATTTTTGTAATTTTAGCAATTAATTAAAATAGTAATTCCCGCGCCTGCCCATACCCACCGCGTCACCCGTCTGAAAATGGCTGTCTAATCTAAAATGCTCTGTTTTCTATTCACAAAAAAAAGCTCTGTTTTCTGAAATCATATGAAGTGCTCTGTTTCCTGAAATTTACAGAGACGAGACTCTGTTAATCGCCACCGTCTCAAAATGTGCAAGGCACAGTTATTAAGCTCTTGCATGCCGGCAGGCGGCCAGGCGAGGTGAGGTGACAAAAGCAGTTGTCTTGTCTCCGGCCACACCATACCGCACAGATGGACAGGCGGCAGAGCCGTTCGCGGCGGACAGGCGGCCAGGCGGTACTAGGCTGCGCGCCTTTATCCGGCTCTGTCGCGCCACCGGTCAGCGTCCTGATCGTCGCCATGTCAACTCTCTCATCG